CACACACACACACACACACACACACACACACACACACACACACACACACACACACAATACCACTGCGCAGCCGGAGAGGATAAAACTCCAAACCTATCAGTTGTTTTATTTTTAGCTTTTTAATCTTTACCGCTGACAAGTTCTGAGAAATGTTTAGACAAAGCACAAAGAGACAAATGGATTATAGAATTATTTTTATACGACTGATGCTCATGGGAATATGCTGAGTGATATTACATGGTAAAAGTTCCCTTTGCTTTAGTTTCTTGTCACGACACGCGTGACTCTGGTGTTTTTGGGGCAGATGGCCGGCTGGGCTTTGGGGAAGCAGGTTGACGACGTTTCTGCAGAAGGTTTCACAGTGGGGTAGATGGGAAAGAAAATGGGGGCACGGTGTGGCAAAAAATAAAAAAAAAAAAAGCACCATTTATTTAATTTTATGCTGAAATAAACAAAAAGAATGTACTGTGTTTATTCAAATGTGGTGAAAGAACAGTCGTCTGGAATAAAACAATATAAAACAGGGAGGTCCTGATGTAGCTGAAACTGAACATTTTTTTGCTCTTTTTTTCTGTGCTGCACTCCTGCAAGGTCAAACAATGAGTGTTTTGCCAACCTCAGGCTGTGCAACGCCTCTCAATCTCTCTCTGACCTTTGCGCTTTGCTTCATTCTCTCCTCTCACTTCACTGGCCGTGCAGAATAAAAGCACAAACAATTCATTTTTTATTTTAACACGACTCTGCTTTTAGGAGTAATTCCTTTTTGTCCTCATTTGCTCACGCTCGTACCGGAGACCTCCCTTATTGAGTCGTCCGGCTGAACAGAGAATGAGGAGGATTAGACACAGCTTGTCCTGAAACTSGTGGAATCCAACTCATTAGGTATTCTCTGTCGGGGTACAAAATGCGGGACTTTGGTTAGGGCTGGGCTTGGTGGTGACAGCAACAGAGAACACGCTGTTCCCACCCCTCAAGGGTCACCATAGGAGAAACATTCGTTTGGCACACAAACACAAATCAGTGCATTTCACGTGGCTTAGCAGGTGCTGTCTAAAGAAAAATGAGTTGACTAATTACAGGGTGTAAAATTATATTTTTGTCATTCTTGGACATAAATCCCTATAAATCATTATCATTAAAGGTAGATGTAAGGGGACTAAAATGTATTAAATTCATGATTTAAAAAGGTAACATCTAAAATAGCTTTAGCATGCTAAATAGATAAAGTCCTCCCTCCCCAATAAAGGTTTGGACTATTTCACACTAACAGTCTTCTTAAAAGCTCGCTCTATAAATGTAAAAAAAAAAAACTGGTGTTTGCTGCCTTAATGCAGAAGAAAAGTGGATCAAAGCGAACTTTTTTTTAGCAAAACTATCAAAGATAAAGGCTTTTTTACTTTAGCTGATGAGCTACAAGAAAATATTACTTTGAGCACCACTGTTAGCATTAGCATGGCTGTTAGCATGGTAATGCATTCTAATGACATATTTTGTTTGTTCTCAAATCAAAATGTCAAATGAAAAAAATCAAAATTTTAAGTTCAAAGTTCAGGAGAAAAAAAAAATCAACTGACCAGCCTCAATATTCAAAATGTCTACCTCGCACATAAAAATTGAAAGCGCCACAGTAATAAACCTGCATTTTCTCTTCTGTTAATTTTAGTCACTGTAATGGTTGTTGGTTTATTAGGACTCAGGCAAATTTTTGGTTTAGATCGAAAAAGTTTTTAATAAGTAAAAACAAAACCAAACTGGAAGGTGAAACACAAASCAAGACTGAACAGTGAAGGCACATTTGAGGATCTGCTGAAGAGTTATCAAAACCAGGGAGTGAATGTCCTCTGAGAGGAGTGATTAGTAATTGAGAACAGGTGCAGTGATTGCAGATGACTTGTGTGGGAGACAAACATTAAAGGCTGAAGAGAAACAATGAGCAGTAAGCCACTATTAGAAACAAACACATTGGTGAACAAAAACTAAGAACACATCTATTAGAAAACATGTTGCTGAACGTTGCAAATTATTGTTGTCCAGTACTAACAATAGTTAGCTTGGTTACTTAGCACAACAATTAACACAGTTTAATTGTTCCTGGTGCAAGTTCTGACTTCTGAGGTGAATGAGAGGCAGAATTAGCAGCAGAAACATAAGATGCATTGTATTTTGAGAAAACTCCCCAGATAAGAAGCCGAATGTTTTCAAACTAAGTTAATTTACCTTGGACTGAATGAAGCTGAACATGTCGACTGTTATTTATCTGCAGTTTTTGCAGTTGTAAAGAGCCCGACAGCTAAGACTTACAAGTAAAACATAATCATTAGCAAGCAAGTAGGTTTTACTTTAAACAGGACACAAAAACCACGTTTTTAGCAACATTTTGTTGTGATCTTGGAGACTCAAGGAGCCAGAGGTCTGCCAGTGATGCGTAGATATCTCTATATTCTGTGTGGGTCAAATCTTTCATTTTCCTCAGTTTTCTCTATTTTCTATCATGTTTTCTGAACTAAAGCCAAAGAATTTGTGACAGAACAGACATATAAGGCCTGGACTTACCAACTACAATTTCATCATCTTCTTTCTCCTCTGGCTCCAACATGTAAGGCTGGAAGGACGAGTCTTCTTTTGTTGACATCTTTTAATTGTAAATTAAAGGTTTCTGCGCTGCTATATAGTCATAAACCCTTCTATCAAACTGGAAGCTGGAGGGGGGCGGGGTGTGAAGCAACTCGTTTGGGTTTAAAGAGACAGCCTCAAAACGAGTTGATCTGAGACACACCTCAGAAATGGGTGAAAGAGGGGCTTGTGGAGTTACAATAAAGGGCTCGACACACGAGCAGCGACAAACTACAGCGATTAACGGCTGTCATCGCAGCCAGGGTGAAACCCGACAC